TTGGTTCCAGTGGGCCCACCCATAATACAAACAGGACCCGCTTTGAATGAAATGACTTTCAATAGGCTTTGTCAGTCAAGTCTCTGTGACATGAAATAAAAACAACCATTACAAAAGCCATCTTTCATACATCAGAGGCTTGGCTACATAAGCTACATAAGGTGAGGCCACATTTTTCTCATTTAGTGGTCTTAAGGGCTCCAAAGCCAAGAACAGTTTGCTTTCTTTGCAAGATCCACATCTGATAAAAATGCCTGTTGTGATTGTGGAAAAACGTTTGATGGACTCCAGCTTTGGCATATTCCATATTTTATCAATCCTATTTTGTACAATAGAGTCATGTGAGTGGACTCGCCATGTTGTTTGCTGAAGTCCGTGAAATAACAGACTGGTCACGCTATCCTTTGTTTGTAGTTGTTGTTTTATAGCCTGTCTATCAGATCTCATTTGGACAGTGTCATAAAGTGAAAGAGCTGATTATCAAGATAAACGATATGTAATTATGACTCGGCTCGTTCTATGCCCCTGAGCTGTTGCGCCATTCATCACAGAAGCCTTCATTCACTTTGATGTTGATTTAATTTTCTGACCTTTTCGTTTAACCCCACACATCTCCGACGCGTCCTACAACAGCCGTGTGTGTGTGTACCATGTGGCCACTCATTCCCACTGGGGTTATCACGGCTGAGTGAATTTTGGCTTGCGGACAGTAGCACTGATCACATTTGATGAAGGAAATACATACCACAGAGGATTGTGTGTGCATGCGGCCAGGTCAAAGAGGTTATCATGGCCCAGTTTGTGAAGAATGTGAAACCCATTTTGTTGTCCCTCTTCTCCACTTGATTTTTTTTCTTGTAGAATACTTGATCCTTGGGCTTATTTTTGACTTTCAATCTACTGTTGATCGTGATGTGAAATTCTTATCTTTGCCCATCACTGCATGGTTCCTGGTCTGGAGCTTGGCATTTGGGTCTTTATTTGAACTGGCGTTATTTGAGTCGTCCATAAAACATTGTGCCAAAGGACTGTGCCATTGTTTTCTGTCATCAGTAAGGCTTGGCAGTTTTTGTAAGGGAAGTGAATTTGAAGGATTTAGCGTGTTAAATTTTACATCCTGGTTTATTGTTTTACTAAGACAAATACATCTTCCAAGGCTAATGTTTGTGAGAGTGTAGAGGTGCAGACATTTTCTCATTTTATTGTGCAGTATATTTTTAGGAAGCAACCGCATTACAAGATGGCTTAAAGCTCACAAGAATCCATTTTGTGTGATATAGGATCTTTTAAAATAACTATTGGAGTTTGCAAAAATTTGCCACTGCAGCTTTAAGATAATGTGCGTAAATAGTAAATAACTGCTCTTTCTCTGTCATTGATTTCTTCTCCCTTTGCCTGAAAAATGAAATAAAGCAATAGTTTTTCTTTTTCCAAATGTTTTTGACAAGTACTCTTCAACAAATCCCAGTCTACAACTCTCGCACACACTGACAGATACCTTGGAACCAACCCCTGTATGTGCTGTTATGGATTTACTGATCAATGCAAGGCGAATACTGCTCTGCTGTCTTTTTAAAGGTGGATGGAAGAAAGATATTTCAGGATCCACCAATGTGAAATCTGAAACACTTACCTATATTGAGAGCAGTGGGGTAGTGAGCCTACATTCTCTGACATTGTGTGTCTTTGTTCTGCCTGGCATGTAAATCATAATGGATCTCATTATCCAGCTGGGTTGCATTGGTGGGGCCTGTCTGGCGAGAGATGATAGCTGGATGGCTCTGGGGCGGCCACCAGACACACACAAGCTGCTTTTGTGATGTTTGTGTTCGTGGGATTTTAACTGAAACTACAGTTAAGTCTTGAAGCTGCACTATGTAACATTTCTGGTTAAAATCAATCAATGTGTTCTATTTTGTTCATGACCATTGCAGATACTGATTGCTCAGAATCCAGTGAAACCAATAAGAGATAAGCTCTGCCAATATTTTTAGGCAGATGAAAGCCCAATTTAGATTATTTTCACCAAATTGTACAATGTAAAATGACTACAAGCTCATTCACAAACCTGTTTTACTACAAAGTCGATACAGGAGCTATGTAGCCGTCTTTTGTGCAGTGCCTTCTTCACATTAAAGTGTTCAAGAAGCTTAATGCATATACTTTACGTCGGCATCTGGTTGGCCCAAGCATGATAGGTGATATGCTAAAAAGTGCAAATATGAACCAACTGATATATGGATCTGTCTCTGATTTCTGGTGGGAGGTCTGTCACCTGCTTATCTCCATTCAATGTCAATGTCAGTTTCAGGAATTCTAGAGCCGAAGATGCATTTGGCTTGGAGACCATCTTTAAAAAAACAAAACAAAACAAAAAACCCCACAAGCAATCACTTGTTTACGTCAACCACAAATATTATTAATAAGTTTCTTCAAAAAAGAAGCTATTTTTCCAAGTCCCTGGAAGGTTGGAGTCATTACCCTACTTTAATCTATAATTATAGACCAATCAACATTTTGCCAGTAATCTTAAAACTGTTGAAAAGTGCGTCACAGAGCTACTTACTGGACATCTAAAGCCCTTACAATCTAAACCCAGTGCTTTTGCAAATATCATTCCACAGAGACCACAGTTATCTTGTTGAAAACATCAAGTCCAGTATTGATGCTGGCGGTGTTGTTGGTGCAGTGTTTATCGACTTAAAGGTGTTTGACACTGTGAACCATCACATGTTACTTCTAAAGCTTACTCATTTCAATCTATCAAAAATAACTTTAAACTGGCTACAATCGTATCTGGCCTTGAGAAAGCAATGTGTCCGTGTGCATAACGTAAAATCTCCAACATCTCAAAACAATTTTGGTGTGCCTCAAGGCTCGACACTGGTCCAAAAATTTAACCATTGCTGTTTTACTCTTTAGCAATGGACCCAAATTTGTCCATCTAATGTAATCTGTCAGATGTATGCTGATGATGCGGTTTTGTATGTTAACTCGAAAAACAAACAGCAAACTGCATTGGACCTATCATTTGCTATGTCAGAGGTAGCAAACTGGCTAAAAAATTTACAATTACATCAATTACAATATCTCAAAGTCAGTATGTTTTTCTCAAAAAAATCCTGGCATGGATACAGACCCTGATGTATGCATACTTGGAACAAAACAGAAACTGGTCCCTGAAGTGAAGTATCTGGGAGTTACATTTCATCAATAACTATTGTTCAAACAACATGTCAAAAGAACAGTGAATAAAATCATATATAATTTATAAAATTATTGTCATATAAGAAATAATCTAATAATAAACTCTGCAATTATGTATTTAAATTCAATGATTTTGCCTCCTAAATTACTATAAAAATATAAAATAATATAACAAAATAAAAAAGCACTTAAGGTATTAGACAAAAATCCCACTAATTATCACTACTATACTTGACAAATACTAAATTCTTAATTCTTTTACTTATCGAGCAGGTCAAATGTGGAACACAGTGCCTGCTCATATACGAGAGCTTTCAACACTGGCAGCATTTTCTAAAGCTTTAATACAGTGGCTCTTCGATTTTCAAATATGTCACCCTGTTTAACAAAATTACATGTTTTATATTGAGCAGTTGTTGGTTTAACTCTATAACTCTTGACTTAGAAGTTCAAATGAAGTTTGAATTGTATGTATAGTGAGTGAGCTGGTGTTGAGTGTGGTTGTTGCTGTACTTTTCTCTGTAGATGATTTGACATCAACCTGCTGGGGGACTGCAGATGGAAATTAGCCATGCTGGCTATAATCTTTGCATATATACATTTTAAATGTTCATTCCTATGTGCTGTCCCTTTACAAATAAAGAACTAAGAAATGCTCCATCTATCATGCATTAAATCAATCACATGTTTCAATGACTCAAAACATAACTTGAAAACATGTGAGTGGGCCCGCCTCCACAAACCTGACACCTGCTTGTCTTCAGGGAGAATAAATACTGGGAAGAGAGAGCAATGAACAATGAGAAAAGTTACGTGATACATCTTTTAAGACATTCTTTAGACCTACATCGAGTTCCTTGTCTTGTCTTTATTTGTGAGGTGCTGTAGATTGTTAATAAATACACTTGTTAGAGATTGTAGTTTGTTGATTGCATGTGGCAAAAATGGATCAGGAGGGAAATGACAGAATTGTGTTATCTATTATAAATGGATGTAAAATAGTATTGTTTTCATTCAGCTTTATAGGAGTTTCTTAATGCAGAGTTTGTAAGCCCATTGGCAGCCCATCTAGACACAATGGGCATTAGCGACTCAGCTTGCCATCAGACAGAAGGCGATGTGATGCAGAGAGGAGGGAGGGACACATGAAAAATGGATGTTATCCTGTTACCCGCTCTCTTACACTCCCTCCATAGTTCTTTTCCTCTTTTCTTTTTACTGTCCTCATCCCCGATCTGTCACCAGTTTGGTGGACACTGGCAGATGTCCCCCGGGGTCCAAGTCCAAGCCGGCTTTGGCATCTCTTCCTTATATTACTGTGAGCACGTCATGAATCACATGTGTGAAGCATGCAGAATATGCTGTTGTGGTGGGACAAATGCCTCAGTAAATCACTTTCCGTGCACCAACAAACATGCGGCTGCTCTGTTTTTGGAGCTGGCCCCTGTGCTGTGAATACAGGCGGAGCAGTTGGTAACGCGGTTAAGGCCTACACCATTTGTCTGGACATGACCATTACCCAAGCCAATTACTGGCTGGTGTACAGGCGGCTCGCCAACAACCTAATGTTTTCCCGTCATGCTTGCTCCCCCTTCCCCAGCCTCTCCCTTTACAAATACACACACATAAACACTAGGGGAGCATAGATACAGGAAGGATGGTGGGCCTGGGGCGAAACCCCCACTCACACACTGACTGATACAGCTAATAAACTTTCATTTAAGATAATGCTCCTCTCTCTCTTCCCTTCAATTTCCATACTCTTAGCCTTTCTATCTTTCCCTGTGTTTCAGCAGCAGAGGGACAGGTCTGAGGAATCGATGAGGGCAGTCCTGCAGCCGGGAGCCCAGTTGGCCGAAGCACACGGCACTCAATCAGTCTGAGCACAGCACCTTTGTGAGGCTGGAGGCGACCAACTGAGGTAGACACTCTTCTGTAAACAGCACTACATCCTCCTCTCCTCTGATACTGAACACAGAGCCTCCACTGCAGGAGGCTTATCTGAGGAGAAAGCTGTCCGCATCAACAACACATTTCTGAAATAACAGCGGGGCATGTTTGTGCTCCTGCCATCTCCAAGCCCCTGTATGTCTGAATACTTAGGGTGCTATGCTAATGAAAGTTTAAGACAAGGCTCCTGCTATGCTGCTCTTATTTTTAGCTATGTAAGTAGGCTTTGTTTTAGATTACAGTTTGCCTACTGTGTACATGAGTGGTTTTCCCCTGTGTCATGTGTTTTATACAGGACACAATGCATCTTGTATGACGTTTTTACTGTTATGAATTCCCTCTTGTTGAATTTTGATGAAGGCATGCCATAATTTGACTTAAATTACATTCTGTTTTCAAATGGAGATTAACACTGATTGCATGGAAAATATTAGTTTCACACAAAATTAGATTTTTTTTACTGACATACTATACTTATTTTCCAACGCTTTTGAAAGTTGTCAAAAAGAATAGTTTTTAAAGTCAACAATTTTGTGAGATTGAAGCGTCAGCCCACTTGAAATGAGTCTAGAGAAAAAGCAACACACTTTTCTAATTGAAATCATCTCCTCATGCACCATTTGTCAGGATCCAATATTGTTATTTATTTAGTTTTGAACAGTAAAGAAACAATGACACGCTACAGTCCCAGAGAAGCCCCAGTGTTGCAGAGGCTAGGATGATCTAAATGTATTGAAAATCACATACTAATCGACACTGAAACTAGTATCAAAACCTAGATACTCATTTGAGCTGGTATTGATACTAAAAAATCCCAGCACAGAAATTAACCTTTACTGAATATCTAAGAGTTTGAGCTGTATCAAAAGTCAGAACAGAAAGTGTAAGATCACATAAACTAGTATACGCCCATGGACCACTACCTACATGACTGAGAGATGACACATATATGTAGTAGATATAACACCTCATGGTAATATAAAAGAAAGTACTTTGATTTAATGTTGAAAACAGTGTTCTTTTGTCTAAAGAAAGAGTTTTAAAAAAATATCATCGTGTACCGGTACCTTTGTACCGAAACTGAGTTTGAAATTTTTGTATCGGGACAACCCTAGCAGAGTCTATATTGTCAGGTTGCAAGTGTCCTCTGATAAGTCCACTCCCCAGCTTGCTCCTGTCAAAGGCCTTCTCTTGGTTTTGATATGTGAAAGTGTGTGAAAAAGCCTTTGATCTGTCCTCCAGCCTGAAGTGGATTCGCCCGGTCTCTCCACTTCACCCACTGACCTCCCGGCAAACACTTATCCCCGAGCTTGCTTCTCTTTTCTCCACCGATTTACTTTTGATGCCCAAACTGAACGAAGACAAGTGGCACTGTTGCTTTTGTAAAAACAGCAAGACAGAGAAATCTCCCGGGTGTGAATTAATGAGCTTTCTCGGCATGCATTCCTGCGTCCAAATTTCCCCAGCCCACACTCAAGCGCATATCTCATTCCTGACTTGGAGTCACTCCCCCAATTCCATTTCAACATAGGTGCAACCCCACTGTGCGCTCATCACTTCAAGTCCGCCATACGTATCTATATAGCGTCTATTGCTGTATACGTCTTATATGCGCTGTACAGACTGTCTTAGTATTTTCTAATAAGACGGCAATAACAATAAATCCTACAGGCTAATCACCCGCTCGCCACTTTTCTTCCCTCCCAAACGCAGACGACGCGGTATTACCCTGCCTCTGCCTTCAATTACTCCATTCATCATGCGTCTTATCTGGCCGACGGTTTGATTGAGTGTGCGAAGGGATGCGACGCAAAACTCTCGGCACAAGTGTGTGTTTGGAATGGTGACAGCAATAGAAAAGAGAGGAGGGAGGGAGAGAAAGGGAAAGAGAGATGAAGGGGAGGGAGGGAATGGGTAAGTATGAGACCCACAGCAGATCTACACCAGTGTATAAATCAAACCAGATGATCCAAGTATATTTCCCCCTCCCTCCTACTGTCCCTGCACTTCCTTCCTTATTCCCTCTCTCCTCTGGAACAGATTTGTCTGGGGGCCCCTGTCCAATCTCCAGCAGTGCCGGGTGTTGGGAGACGGGTGACAAATTTTAATAAGCAAGGGGGCGCTGTAATTTAGGGGCCTGAGAGGCAGATTACGCTGATGGATACCGGGCCTCACCTAATGGTCCGGCCTACGACTCTGGGCCCAAATTGGCGGTAATGAAAGTTTTGTGCAAATTGAGATGCAGCAAAAATATAGCATCATAACATCGTCTCCTTCAGTCTCTCCGTCTCACTTAAGTCTCTGCGTTTTCTCTGTATTGTATTCACTTTCACTTTATAGTTGTCACCATAAGCAGTAGACTAGGAAGTGCACTGTTTGAGGCCTACTGTTAAGCTTGAATACAAGTCATTATAAGGAAGACATGGTGTATCATCTTAACACCTTTTATAAAATGCTGGCAATTATAGATGTCATGATCAAATTCATGAATTGAATCACACAATTTATTCATTAAAATGTGTATTATAATTATGTCAAATCTTACATCTTGACTTGTCTCTTGAACCAAATTTTGCTTTAAATTGTGTCCCACCCCTAATAAACAGCCCGGAAAAGAAGCACTTTATGTTTATTTCAGTCTATATTTTTTTTCTGAATATAGACCGAATTAAAATCAATCATCACAATTATTATTTTTACCTCTGAATTGCTTATACTCATAGAACTAAACAGCAAACAAATTTATGAATGACTTATTTCAAGCATTGCTAACAAGAAAGTATAGCTTCTTGGCAACTAGGCATTATTTGAGCGGACTGCTAAACAGCCGACACCTGTAAGCTGCAAAACTAGCTTGCAGCAGCTAATATGCTAATAATATCCTTGCCAGATTTGCACTTTCAATATTCGTCTCACAATATCTCCTTTGCTTCTGGCACCATCAGCCAGGTTTTATATCTATATATTCTATCGCACAATTATATAGATGATGTTATACTTTTCTCGCTCATTATTTTACTCTTCGTCGCACACATCTTTTTTATAGCTTTCGCTCTCTCATACCCACAGTGCTTTCGTGCTCCTTAACGGAATCGATTAGTCTGTCATCCATAGCCTCTCCTTCTCTGTCTATTCTCCCTGCATCACTTCCCTGTCCCTACTTAACTCCATCTGTTTACTTGCATTCACTAGCTCTGCCCCGTCGTTCGTTGCGCTTTGTCATGGCTAGTGGGATGAGTTTTCTATGTAAACGGGCCAGAGGTGTTGTCTGCCTGGCTGTCGCATTGTCAGAAAGAATCCATCTCCATCTACAGGGAGCTAAACCGACTGTCTGCAGCTACCTCCGATGTATATTCCTCTCTTTCGTCTCGGGGCGGCTGGAATCACTCTGGGCTGCCACTCCCGACAGGCCACATCTGCCATGCATTAGAGGACCGCGGAGAGTTTTTAGGACACTTTTTTTCAGGGTATGGCAAATGTATCCACGTCCAGCTCCTGTCTCCCACTGGCTGAGTTATTCCTTGTATTTTGGTTCTGTTGATGAATAGCCACTTTTCCAGTAAACCAAGTAAATAGATCCCAGTCGGGAGGCAGCCATTTTGAACAAAGTTTGGGTCATAGTTTCCTGCTAATAAATTGTCTTTTTTTCTGTTGCAGCTTGCTCAGAACAATGTTGGCGACCCTAACTGCTTAACTGTAGCATCATGTACAGAAGAAAGACACAGAATAAAATATGGCTTTTGAGTAAAAAGTGAAATGAAAATTACATATCCTGGAATCATAGTTGTAACATTTGATATACCATGAAGTTAGTGTTATCTGTGTGTGTGTGTGTGTGTGTGTGTACAGGCCTTCATAGCACCTTCAGTTCCCTTTCAAAACTCCCCCACATCTCTCATTGTTTTTTCCAAGACTATTGCAGTCCTCCTCCTCCTCTGCGTGCCACCTTGAGTTATGTGCCGATCTGTCATTAATAGCATCATTACCATTTATTTTCCTCCCTCTGTGCTGCTGTGTGCATTTCAAAATACAGCGTGGATGCTCACTTCATTAAACAAGCCAACATCCAATTTTCCCTCCATGACAGAAGCGGAGGTGTGCTGCTTGAAGTCTCCCAGCACAAAGTCAGAATGTACACAGTAGCCAGATAAGCAGTCCCTTGTCTGTCATCTTTTGTGTATTTCCCAACTTTCTTGCACAATCAATGTCTTTTGCAACTGAACAGAAGAATATTTATGTGACAAATAAAACTTCCAAGGCAACTACTTTGAAAGTTCAAACCCAATACAAAAGAAGCGATCAAAATTATTTCAAAACAGACTTCCTTTATTTGCAGTTGGTTTTGAAATGCGCACCTGGGATGCTCTAAAGTGTAAAGTCATGCTCTATTGTGGGAAATGGTGACAGATGAAAGTTGAAAAGCAGTTTGATTCAAATATTGTTACTTGGAATAAGTAATTCATCATTTCATACATTCATATTTTCATACTATCTCTTATAGTTGCACAACCTTTGCTTTTCAACATGTGTTAATGCTCTCTTAGCTACATTACACCAAATGGTCAAATTGCTACATCCTAAACCTGTTTCATTGTAATTTTCTAAACACTTCCATTAGCGTGTGTGTACAAATCACCATTCCGTTTACATTTGTTGTGCTATAGTATTTTCCCAAAATGGCTTTGTGGATGCAGCAGGCAGGCACGCTCGTAAATGAGTGGCAACTGGCTGAGAAGTTTATCTTGGCAACAGGCGGCTCTTGTTGATTGCTCACCAAAGTCTGTGGTTGGCCTCCCCAGACAAATGAATATGATCTCTCTTGGTGTCCCGGGCAATTTAGTGCGGTCGAGTCAGTGCGGGTAAGTCTACATTGGATGCAGCCGCTCTCTGTGGGTGCCGTTTTAAGCCTCAGTAAGGTTCACACTCCATCGGCCCGAGCGGTTTGTTACCAGTTGATTGTTTATTTTTCTT